TCAACTCGTTAACGACCATGCCTCAAGGACACTTAAATCGATGAAAGGCCATTATATAAGTATTATGTAGAAACCACTCATGTCACTCATGTGCGTCAAAAGACATCTTCAAGATTAGCCACAATTTTTGTCATTTTAGGGATTATAAGCACTTTAACGACCATGCCTCAAGGACACTAAACTCGTTGACAAGAAATATAGAAAACCAACTGCTTTTCGACAAATAGATTTCAATTGTTAAGCTTTAGACATTGGGAAATCTTTAGTTTATGCTCACAACAAGCTAACATGGAAACGGACGCACTTCATATTTAGTTTTTTCAATAAACTTGACATTGTACAACAAAATCCAGGACAAGGTGACAGTTTTAGGTAGACTAGGATGAATGATGAAACTATTAGCCTGATGATGGTTTTGCAATAAAACCGAAATATTGCTCTCATGTCATCTCCTATTCTATTCGATGCTGAATATCAACTAGAATGAATATATTCGGTATCTCATTCATCCTATCATACAACAACGTCTGCGTTTCTCATTAAAAAACTTAAGCTAGTGCAAAATACTTTTATTCAATTTATTATGACTCTTCCTCATGCAATTCTAAAATATTTGACATTATGCAGTTATACTTAACACTTATTTACTGGAACCGAGGGAAACAGCATGTTTTGTGGTCCCGAGACAGCTGATGTTTCCCGAAGCGAAGCTGAGGGAAACATCAGCGGTCGAGGGACCGCAAAACATGCTGTTTCCCGAGGTTTCCAGTAAATAAGTGCTTTATTATCATATCAAGTGTCAAAGAGAGCAAAAAAAAGTAAATACATGAATTGTTTTTATTAAAGATTTTGATAAAATAACTGAAAAATGGCAATACAAATAGTCACTAAAATCAATCAATGTAATAACACAATGAATACTAATTTAACTATTTGTAGTCGAAATTAAATGTTTCATAACAATTTTGGAATTGCAACGTCCGTAAATGTGACATTTTCACGACACTGAAGATTGTTTTTCTGCGACTTTGTACTTATTGACGGTCCACAACATATTATTGACCGCTGGYKDACAGTTGCCGGGAAACAGTAAAATTTTGTGACTTTCACGTGGTACACTCTCGACCAATAAGATACTAGGAAAAGTGAACTTTGACACTTGATATATAATAATGTAATTTCTTCATCCGTACGCATCGTTTGTTGTCATTACTTTGTATCTTTACTTGACTTTCTTCTTTCTTTTCTCTTTCTTCCTTCATTTTTTTGGCTTGCTACACTTATGAGCAAAGTTACCCTGCATTTATTCGGCATAATGTTTTTTGTGTGTGTTTGTTTTCTGGGTGAGTGACATGCGTCACTCATTTTCATGCATCTTACTTGTTACTTGAAAAGAATGGAAGATTTTATAGCTAGTACTAATGTGTTCTCAGAGTAAGCACCCCGATGCTAAGTGATCATCACTTATAGTATAGGTAGGTTTCAGTTAAGACGCCTACGTATCATAGAAAAAAGTGAACTTGATAACTTAAGGATGAAGGAGTCCTTTCAGAAAGGCGATTTTAACTCAACACTGCACGACATTTCAATTCACAATTCAATTCAATTCACAGTTCAATTCACAATTCATATGAATTAACGAGTCAAGTACCGCTGATCGTTAGAGAATAAAACGAGGAAATGAAGCGTAGAATAGTTGTTTTACTTGAAGGATGTCACTCGGTAGTCGGTGATTGTAGCCGGATAGCCACTTAATATTACATAACGTAAATTTCCACTTACAAGTCACGTGGCCTCACTTCAAGCAGGCAAATTTCAGGGTTTTATTCTGTTCCGGAGTTTTAGCGGATAAATGGACTAACAGCTGTTAAGCATTCCCCAACCTTATTAGTAAATATTCAATTTTAGTTTCTGCATCCATTTTATTTTTGAATCAAATCATGACAAATACGGGTCCCTAAAAAACGAAGACCTAGAAAACGACGACCGAAGACCCTGAAAAACGAAAACCCCCGTCAATTCTCGGGAAAACAGTGTCAAACATCTTTATATTTCTTACAATCGTTTCGTCGCAATGTGTCAGATCTTTTTATGATATTTCATGTATTGAGAATTCACAGGGGGTCTTCGCTTTCCAGATCTGGAAAACGAATACCCCTGCCAAATTTCGTCTATATTGATATAATTCTCGCGAAAAGAGCGTCAAACGTTTTATTCTTCTTTATAATCGTTTCTTAAGAATGTGTCAGATCTTTTCATGATATTTTATTGAGAAATCACAGGGGGTCTTCGCTTTCCAGATCTGGAAATAGCCGTGCATAAGGTCTTTCCATACAAGAACGCCTGTGACGTTGTTCTGTAGCCTCCTTTGCAGGCAACTCTACTCCGTGGGATTCCTGTGTTAAGGCAAAAAAGCTGCCGGAGGGGGAGGGGGCAAGGAAGGATTATTCCTAATCTCTCGACACCAGTTCTTCTCGATCAAGAATATGAACACAGGAAGACCAAGAAGATAAAAATTTCCGTTTCCGATGGAGTAGCCTGGGAAGGAGGCTATTTGTTGTACTGTTTAGTATATATTGTATTCAAATTGTTGAAAGAACATGGATGTTTTATAATACATTCATTGTAGACGAAATTTGGCTGGGGTMTTCGTTTTCCAGATCTGGAAAGCGAAGACCCCATATGATTTCTCAATAAAATATCATAAAAAGATCTGACACATTGCGACGAAACGATTGTTTTTCAGGGTCTTCGTTCTTCGTTTTCTAGGTCTTCGTTTTCTAGTGACAGATGATAAATGTATCGATTTTGAGAAATGAGCATCGGATCAGAATAGAACATCAGAATAAAACAGATACTCGAGTAGGAGAGTAGGTACACGATGAGATTTGATCGGGATATAGTACAGAGTCCCGAGCCAAGAGCGAAGAGACTACGATCGAGATACGATTGAACCACGAATATTTAAAGGAAAAGTCCACGATGAGTTTTTCTAATAATACGGCATATTCCCGAGCCAAGAACGAGTCCATGATCGGGATGAACTTCGATTTTTTAGGAGAGTCCCGAGCAATAATCGACGGACGCACGGCGGTAGAGCGAATCATCAACGTCTACACTTTTTTAGTAGCAATGTAGAACAGCTACACAAGACACTACCAACATACTAAATGTCAGGTTTTTGATGGCTTGTATTTGGTACTCTAAAAATTCACAACAACAAAAATACAATCAATACAAGATGAGTTATTATAAGGGAGAATTATCTAGTTTTGCATAAAGAACTTCCCCACCCGAAAGGCAATTCCCTCTCTATGCCCTAGTCGCCCGCCCCTTTTTAACTCGAAGATTGCGAAACAATCGAAGAGTTATTGGAGGGTAACGAGTCGGCTGTCACTCACTCAATCACTCACTCAGTCACTCACTTTCCTGTAAACTTGAGMCTGYGTTACTTCAGGACTATTCAGAACTATTAATTTATTCTCATTGTTTTCTAGTAATTTATTCATCAATTTACCGTTACCGGTTTCCCTGTTCTACATTTGATTATTTATTCATTTATTTTTTGGTAAAGAAAAATCTAAAGAAATGTCTTCTCCTCTGAGTCTCGAATCTCAGACCTGATTTATCTCGATCACCGGCGCTATCCAGAACCGAAGTTAAATTAATAACATATAACGAAAAAAAACCATATTCATAAATCAGATACTCAAAATTCTATCTGTCAAGTAATAATAAATAATTTGATTCATCGTATCGTTCTTTATTCGTCTACACAATCAATCTTCGAGTTGTGTTGCCATTGGCGGCTTGATTGTCTTTGGATATAAATGCGACGAATGAAGTTACAATCAACAGCAGATGTGGAATTACGTAATCCTGTTAAAGCGATGCGTTTCACATCGAGGCGCGAAACATTAGAAACTAAGTTACATTATAAAAGTTTACTGCGACAGGTAAGACTAAACTCACTACATATTTCGGTGCTACTTTGCTACTCGTTCTTATGTCATCGGGAAATTGTGTTAATGAATCCATAATAATCTATAAAATAAAGAAGAGTTTGGTTAACATCAAAAAAGGTCTTTTAAGTATCTATGAAAAAAAACAAACATGATTTCAGCAAATTGGGCCTCTATTTTACAATAAATATCAACAAATCATATATATGTATATATATCTAAAGAGTGTCATTACAGCCTTTTGAAAAAATTATGAGAATTGTTGAAATATATAAATATCATAATATCAAGTGCAT